CAAACGGAGAATATTTCGCTGATTAATATTTTTTCGTTTGTTTTTAAATAAAGATTCAATTTTACAAAAAAAAGCTCAGAACTTTTTTGTACACCTAATACTTATATTAATGTACTTATATAGATTGACGGGATAGGTAATTCGACAAAGGATCATTTTATTTGAAGGATTACATACCTTTTTTGTTAAGAACATATTTTTATTTGAAGTTAGAAAATTTGAAATTAAGTAAACATGTTATTATTAAAATAATATCATTTTTAAAACATTTATATATGTGTACATACAAACAAATGTAAATTGTTAAATTTAACTGAATTTTTAATGAGACTGATTAATAAGTCTCATGTAGACAAAAAAGCTTAAAAATTGTTAAGTTTAACTTTAAATAATTAGTCTCATGTAATCACGTAATTTACAGACACGAATTAAAAGTAATTATATATTAAATTTTTTTGAAGCATATTATAATCTGAAGCGTTTATAATGTTAAATGTTACGTATAAATAATATTTTTTTGGAGTATAACTGAAATCTATAAAATATAATGATTAGAAAAAAGCATAAAAACTTATACAAGTATTATTCAGGATCATTTGTTTCAGTCATTGTATTATTTACAATCCTACTGTTTATAATATTTTTTAATATCTTTTATTTGGTATAACTAACATTAGCACCATTTTCTAAATTCAAAGATTCAGTTTTTCTCTTCTAGAGAAGTAATTCTGTTTTAGCTTCTTTTTCTTTCTTTTTAATTTCCATTTCTCTGCTTGCTTTTTCATCTTGATTTTTTGTTACTTCTTTTTTCTTAACTTTTTGTTCTTGCTTAATTTTTTTCTTAATTTCTCTTTCGAATTTTCGAAGTTCCTTCTGACGTTGTTCTTCTTCTTGTCTAACTTTCTCTTTATATTACTTGCTTTTTCCATTTCTCAGAACTAATAGCATAAATTTTAGACTTTTTATTTATTTCTTTCTTTTTTGGAGTTAGTAAGGAAAATGTAATTCCTGTTTCCAGAATTTGTTTACATCAACAATTTCTCTGAATTTTATATAATGATTTCACTCTTTTTGCAAAGATGACTTATCAAACAAGAAATTCTGGCGACAACCTTTTTCTGCTAATAAATTTACTGATTCACATTAAACTTTTTTTATAACAGTATCATAAATCATATGTTTCCGATTCTCATTATTCTTCAGTAAATTATATTCTTGTTCAGTAAGATCTTAAAAAGGAAATTATTATTGTTCTATTTTTTAAATTATCTCAAAATCAAAATATATAACGTTTTCGACGCGAGAGAGTTTGCTCCGATCTAGGTGGATAATGCTTTACTATTGATTTAGCATATAATGCCAACCAATAGTATAGCATATAACATCATCAATTCAATTTAAGTCGGTGCAAATCCGTTTGGGTAAAAAATGCTAATAGAATAAAATATTCTTACCTGATGCAACAGTATTGACAAATTTCTCAGAGTTAGAAAATAAACATTTTAATCCAGAGTCAAGTTCGTTTCCCGTTACACTAAGTAAGCAATCCCGTAATATTTTTATTGCTCGATGAATCTTGTATATTCTCTTTCATATTATTTT